CCAGCAGCGCCGGCGCGTTGTCGTTCTCGTCCAGCACGAACACCTGCAGCGTCACGTTGCTGCCCAGGGGCGGCACGCCCGCGTCGCGCGCGCTCACCTGGAACCGCAGCAGCTGCAGCTCCTCGTGGTCCAGCGGCTGCAGCGCGAACACCTCGCCGCTCTCCGCGCGCACCGACACGTAGCTCGACAGCGCGCGCGCGCCCACCCGCCGCTCCACCAGCGCGTACGACACCCGCGCGTTCTCCCGCGCGTCCGCGTCCCGCGCCGACACCGTGAAGACGTGGCAGCCCGGCGGGTTGTTCTCCTTCACGAACACCGTGTACTCGGGCTGCGCGAAGGCGGGCGCGTTGTCGTTCACGTCGGCCACCTCCACCGCCACGCTGGCCGTGGCCCACCGCGAGGGCGAGCCCCCGTCGCGCGCGGTCACCACCAGCTGGTAGGCCGACACGCTCTCGCGGTCCAGGGCGCCGTCCAGCACCAACGAGTAGTAATTCTTGAAGGTGGGCGCCAGCTTGAAGGGGACGTGGGGCGTCAGGGAGCAGGTGACCTGCCCGTTGGCACTTGAGTCGAGGTCAGACACCGTGATGAGAGCAATGACAGTGCCCAGTGGAGCGTCCTCTGGGATAGGAAGTGCGAGGGATGTTATTGAGACTTCTGGTGTGTTATCATTGACGTCCACAAGTTTTAATGAAATCTTACAGTGTCCTGACATTGACGGAGATCCTTTGTCAGAGGCAATAACCTGAATCTCGTAGGAGTTCGCTTCTTCATAATCTAATTTTCCCTTTGTTCTTATTTCCCCGGAGCTGGGATCTATTTTGAACTTGGTCTGTATAGCGGAGGACACATCACTACTGAGTGAGTACACAATCGCGCTGTTTGATCCTTCATCTGCATCAGAAGCATTTAACTTAATCACTAAGGTTCCATTTGCTGTATTTTCTAACAATTTCACTTTATAAACCGATTGGGCAAAAGTAGGTTCGTTGTCATTCACATCTAATACCTTAATCAGTATTTGAACGGTGCCTGTAAGCCCAGGTTTGCCCGCATCTGTAGCCACCAGTAACAAATTAACCTCGGCAGTTTCCTCCCTGTCCAGAGATTTCCCCAGCACGAGAGACAAAGATGGGCTGAGTTCATCATTTGTCTGTATGTCTAGAAAGAAAAACTCACTGGAGCTGAGTTTGTAGGAAAGAAGAGCGTTTACTCCAATATCTGCATCAGATGCTCCCTCTAGAGGAAACCGCGAGTCAAGCAGCCTAGATTCAGGAAACCGGATAGTCTTCACTGTCATGGGAAATACCGGTGGGTTGTCGTTAATGTCTTTCACCTCCACCTCCACATGGAAAACCTGCAGCGGCCTGTCCACGATCGCGTCCAGGTGGATGCTGCACTCCAAGCTCCGCCCGCACAGCTCCTCGCGGTCGATCCGAGAATTCACAAACAAAATGCCGTTCTGCAGATTCACCTCCAGAAGGTCCCCGCGGCCCTTGGACGCCACCCGGAACAGGCGCGGCACCAGCTGGGCCAGCTCCAGCCCCAGGTCCTGCGCGATGCGGCCCACGAAGGTGCCGTGCTTGGCCTCCTCGGGCACTGAGTAGTGGAGCTGGCCGCTCCCCGCCTCCCAGGCTGCGACGAACAGAAAAAAGAGCAGACGACTCCGGGCGTCTCGGCCCCTTCTCATAGAAGACACCATTACCAATACTCGGTAAGTTGATCAAATTAGTAGAGCATGTCTTGCAAAAGTTTAAATGTTCTAGTCTCTGCTGAAGTCCTGCTGCTTCTCGTATGGCTGCGCTTCTCTGGAGTAACAAAGGGGCTCTGGGTATTTTCCTTCCTAGAGAGCACTCTATGGTAGACAGCGACATCATGTGGCTAAAACATAGGCTCTACTGTTTATCGTGTAGATGTAACAATGGTGTGGTCTAAAGTTACTCATAGCTTTAATCTTGGAAAAAATACCTATTTTTAAGCCCTAAAATATATTACCATGTTCCCCATTTTCATTGTGGTAAAACACATAACGTAAAATTTACCATGGTATGCATGTTTAAGTGTACATTTCAATAATGTTAATTATATTCACGTTGTAAATTTTTCATCTTGTAAAACTAAACTCTATATTCATTGGCAACAACTTTCCTCTCCCTCTCACCCCAGACTTTAGTAACCACCATTCTGTTTTCTGTTTCCATGAATTCGATTACTTTAGATAGTTCATATAAGTGGAATCATGCAGTATTTGTCTTTTTGTCATGGGCTTATTTCACTTAGCATCATGTCCTCAAGATTCATCCATGTTGCAGCATGTGACAGGATTTCATTGTTTTTAAAGGTTGAATAACAGTCCATTTTATGTATATACTCATTTTGTTTATTCATTCAACTTTCCATGGGCAGTTGGGTTGCTTCCCTTTCTGAATATTGTGAATAATGCTGCCACAAACATAGATGTGCAAATATCTCTCTCAGACCCTGCTTTCAATTCTTTTTTATGTATTTTCATTTTCACTATTTCTTCAAATGAAGCACATCGGAATCAAAGTATATTTTAGTCAACTGAAAATGTATTTATGTATCCTATTGTTTTGTGATTTAATTTTAATTTTTGTTATTTGCAAATATTTGGAAATTGATCTTTTATTTTTCACATTGGATAATGCACTATTAATTTAGGAATATTTTCTTTTATTACATTTGAATTTTATGCAAGAACAATACAATGGATCTAATTTTTAGTGTTAATCATTTGAGAATTTTTTATTAATTCTTTGGCTCCTTTAATATGCAAATAAATATGAAAATAGAATAAAGATAACATGGGAATGAAATAAAATGAATCAAGGGTAGGACAACATGCAAAATTCGTATTAGGGGGTCACTTTCAGTTACTCTAAGTATGTTACAAATTTTGTTTTCAACTTCCTAGAGCAAAAAGGGAAGCAAAATTAACCGCAGAATTTAGAGTCCATAAAAGAAAAGCAAAACTCTTGGAAAAGAAAAGATAGCTTTTCCTGGTGCTAGAATCTCGTAACAATTTTTTCCAATATCTTGAGTCCGATATCTTAAAATACTATCCACACGATCTATGGAAGTATATATTTATATCAATCATACTCCTACAATGAACCCCAAGTTAACTGGGTTAAGCAAAAAAGCAGAGCATTATTTATTGGCTTATACATGGAAATGGGTAATTATGTACTGATTTTAGGCAGAGCTGGATCTACATGCTTTAATAATCACATAGGGAAAATTTCTCCACATTTACGATTTCCTCTGTTTATCTTTTTTTTTCAAGTAGACTTTTCCTGTGTAATGGTAAAATGGCCAAAGTAGATTTTAGGCTACATATTACCAGTGTCGTGCCCCTTTCTAACAGTCCAGTAAAAATTCTAGATATCACTTCCTACAGCCCAGTTTGGATAGTATGCCTTTTCTATAGTCAATAGTTGTGATGGTTCTCACATTGGGCAGACGTGGGTCACTTGTTCATTCCAAAAGCTTGGAGATGAAATCAGCCCCACCCAATTATGTGGACTGAAAAGGGAATGATTGTCTTTGTAGAGGCTAGGGCCTATACCCAAATTCTCCCCTTAAGCTGACTGCAAAAATTTAAATGTTCCAGTCTCTGCTAATGTCCTGCTGCTTCTTGTATTGCTACAGACTGGTCATTACAGTATTACATAGTAGAAATGCAAATGCTTATGTAGAATACCCAGTAATTTTTATCTAATTCATGGCTAACACATTAAGGAATGTGTTGACACATTAAGGAATGATGCCTACAATCCAGTTGTTTATTTCAGGAAACAGGGCTTGCCTGAGGCAATTTTTTTAATCATATAAGATAATTAGGCTATATTTTCAGAAAGCCATATCTGGGAGCATAAGAGGCTTTTTTTTTTGGCTGTTATTTAGGATTTCTAAGGATCTAGAATATCTCTCTCTCTCCCCAGAGAGAAGAGTACCATTGCCAGATATGCAAGCACATTTCCCCCAATGGGGAAAGGAGATTAAAAGCCCATGCTTAGCAAATACCAACCCTCATCCCCCTTCATTTGACACCTTTTGGTATCCGTAGTTGGTTGAATAGTACCCTCAAAGATATCTACACCCGGAACCTTAGGATGTGACTTTACTTGGAATAAAGGTCTTTGCAAATATAATTAAGGTAAGGATCTCAACATGCAATCACCCTAGATCACAGAAGGCTACAAATTCCATGATGGTTGTCTCTTATAATAGACAGAAAAAGAAAAGACACACAGGAAATAAGGAAGTGTGAAGATAAAGGCAAGAACTGAAGTTGTGCTGCCACAAGCCAAACAATGCCAAGAACCACCAGAAGCTGGAAGAGGCAAGAAAGAATTTTCTCCTAGTCTTCAGAGGGAATCTGGCCCAGCCAACATCTTGATTTTGGACTTCTGGTCTCTAGAATTATGAGAGAATAAATTCCTGTTTCTACAAGCCACAAGTCTATGACAATTTGTTACAGCAGCCCAAGGAAACTAATATAATATCCACTGCTAAAATTATACTCTTTGCACCTATCTAAGCAACTGTAAATTCCATAACATTGATGCATCTGAGTATTCATTCTTGCAAAACCTTTAACACCTAGTCTTTCACAAAACTACTACAAAGCCCCAGAATTAAAAAATAAGAAAGGAAGTGGATACAAAGCAAGAAAAAAGAAGAGGTACTTATGGCACTTTTTAGTTCAGATCATTTTTCTTCTACTACTTTTTATATTTGAGAAAAAGTAATGACAACAATAGTTTTTCCTATGAAATTCAAATGATTTAATCTGCTTAATTGTCAGATGCCTTAGTAAACATGTCAATAAAAATATTCTCCTATAAGTTGTATTACTGTTGTAATGCTCTCCTCTTTTTTTTTTTTTTTTTTTGAGTTGGAGTCTCACTCTGTCACCCAGACTGGAGTGCAGTGGCCGCTCCCAGCCACCGCAGCCTCAACCTGCTGGGCTCCGGCGATCCTTCTGCCTCAGCCATCCAAGTAGCTGGAACTACAGGCACGCACTACCACGCCCGGCTAATTTTTTAATTTATTGTAGGGATGAGGTCTCGCCAAGTTGCCCAAACGGGTCTCGAACCCATGGACTCCGGCAATCCACTCACCTCAGCCTCCCAAAGCGGGGGATTACAGGCTGAGCCACCAAGCCCGGCTCAATGCTCTCCTCTTAAAATTTATGCTGTTCACATTAGCTTAATGGCAGTGCAACGCCAATACATATGCGACTGTGCAATGACTATTTCAATTTTCCCTCTTAAACATAATTTTATTTCTTATTCCTATGAAGTCCTCTGTGATTATAGACTTCCTATGGTAGCCTTTCTCCACATGTTGGCTGAGCATCCAAGATTGCTTTGGCTTTATGGTATCTCAGTATCAACCTGTGCTTCTGTAATTGGTGCAACAGGAAAAGATAGCAGAAGAGAGTCTTGCACTGGCACTTACATAATTCTGCTTGGACACACACCATTCACATTTCATTGGCAAAAGAAAAACATACAACCATGCTACCCCAAGGCAACAGAAAAGTGAAATCCTCCAGTGTTCTCTGAAGAGGAGAACAGGAATATGAGTAGTGTCTACCAAAATAAGTAACTATTTCTCATTTTCATCTATTCGTATTCTTGACTGACCACAAATCTCAAAGGTGTCTCAAATGATATTTTACTTTTCTAATTATTCTTATTATATCAGAATAAAGGATTATAACTCTAATCTTAAGGTAGAAGTTTTCTGAAAAAGAAGAAATATGTTAAGAAATAAAGTCCAAGTTTCCTTCCTTTTACTTCAAGTAATGTAAAAATAATATTTTCCTAAATAAACATATCTTCATACCAAGGCAACTTGAAAATAAAATTGCAATTCCTAAAATCATAGTCATGAAACAAAAACTAATCACTAAATTTGAATAATACAAAATTAATAATTTATGTTTTATCAAGATTTTACCGAAAGCAATGAGTTTTTGTTTCCATTAGGGCATTTGAACATTGAAGACTCCATAGAGATATGAAAATAACACTGCTATTCTCAATATGCACAACACAATCATCTTTGCCTAGTTTTTTTCAGATAGACAATAAAGCTGTGAGGCTGCTAATATTAATGAATAATTAAAATTAACCAAAATTAATAGAACTGCATAATAATGGTTATAATCCAGGAATAAGATCTCAACATATATAACATGATCTTTTAAGGATATAGACCTTTTTAATCCAATACATTTCCTAAATGAATGTCTAACTTAAAGTTTAAACATACCATGGAATAAACACTAAAGAATGCATTTTGTTATGTCTATATTATTCTCTGATTTATTAATATTAAAATATTCAATGAATAACAAATGAGTCATAGGAAAGAACAGGTGTAAAGTAAAACAATAAAGCAACTGGTTCATCTTTATAAAGAATAAGAGAGGAAGTAATACATTGTGAAAAAATTTTATAACGAAAGACAAAACTATTGAAAATTGTGCTAATTAAATGAAGATTGTGAATGGGGCAAGAATTTTAAATACCAATGATAAATCCATTCATATTTACACTAAAATAAATACTAAGTGACAACATTACAATCATCTTTCCCCATTCTAGAATTAACCTTTTAATAAACAAAATTTTAAAAGTAAATTTTGTATTCCTACACCCATTTCTTTTGGCTTAATAGTGATTAAATAATATTTTAGATTCATTTCCAAGTTAATGCCTTTGACTGACCTAGAAAACTTTTATTGTTTACACAATCATTATAGTACAGAAAGAATTGACTGCTCCTAGATGCATAACGCATCAATCTAAAACTTTTTTGTCAGTAATCACAATGCAGTTGTGTGAGGGAATGCCTGAATGCTTTTCAACCAAACTTAAAAGGTCATTGACATTATCAAAAAATACTCACTTCCATTGTCTTATGGTTAACCTCTCACTAAAGTACTGTGAGATCATTGCTTTTGCAACCTAAATAAACATCTTTAAATGCCAGCCTGTAACTAAATTTTTTTCTGTCTTGATAGAAGAAAATATATGTTTACCTTTTATATAGCATTTATGATTTTTCAATTAGCCTCTATATCTCCCAGTGTTTGATCATTTTAATTGCCCTTCTCAGGACATTTTTCAGCTACTTAATTTTTTCTCTTTGCAGGGACAATAAGAATTATATTGTTTTCTGAGAATTATTGGCATAAAGAGGGAATGACTTCACTGGCTTTGCTTCCAGAAAGCTTGCTAACACCAGTCAGTATTTCGTTGCCTATTTTTTAAAAGTCATGAATTGAATGAGATCCTCTTTTATGGACACCTTGGTTAAACAAAGAAAATTGGAAAACTAATATTATGCCAAGTCCAAGTCTTTTATAATCATTATTTTAACTAGGATAGAATGTAGTCCCCCTTGAATGTTGTTCCCAAAGTATATACTAGGTTCTCAATATGTACTTGTTTAATGGATCAATGAGGAGATATTGAAAGTCTCTAAAGGCAGTTCAAAGACTGGATATCAAATTGTTAGCAAATGAAGCTATGGGAACATAGTAATGTGAATTGGAAAGATAAATTATGTAGTGACTTTCGATTTTTTTTTTTTTTTTACAATTTTATAATCCTACAAATTTTATCTCATATTGTTTTAAAAACTGGTAAGTTTTCTTGGCAAGGTAACTCTGAAATATTTCTGTGGTTCTTGCCAAATGGCTAGATATGATAATGTATGAAAAGTTGCAGAAAAATACTTACGGTCTCTTTCTTGCAATACTCTAAGCAACAACTCTGTAAAACTCAAAACTTTGGAACCTTACTTACCAAATTACATTTATTTCTTACAGAATATCTTCACAAGGGGACTTTCATGTATGTTTGAATGTTTGGTGAACAAAAATATACTCATTAAATATTTGTGTAACTTCAGAATTAAGCATAGGAAATAAAATTTAACATTATCCTCTTGACTGAATGACTAGAAAATACAATGGTGTCTACATCTAAAAGGTTTCCATTGGTTTTGCAAAACTGCTATAAGATATACTGCCCAGTATCTTGCTAAACCCTTACATAATGATTAGCAAACAAACCTTCCTTGATTTTTCAAACAGGAAGAGTGTGTTTTTTTCCTCTTGAAGAAATGGTATGTTAGTTATTTTTCATATTTCTGTATTTATTTCCAGGAAGTGAATTAGTATTAGGATTTTCACTAACCTGGGCTTGATTTTTGAAAAACTTACTCCCATCTTTATCTTTATCTTTTACTTTGGCTATAAACAGATTTTTAAAATGCGTTTTTGCAAATTTCTCCCACTCTAATTTATGTTAAATATTTTATGAAAGGCAATGAACTGTGTCAGAACAAGGAAATTTGGGATATCCTTGGGAAATTTGAATAAAACTTAGTAATAATACTGAACATAGGTTTTCTGAGTCTCAGCACTTTCATCTACAAAACAAGACTAAAATATTCACTTCACAAAGTCACTGGAAAGACTAAATGAGTTAAAAAGGAAAGGGTTTTAGATCATTTGTGAGTACATGAGAGATGCTCAGTATGTGTTTCCTAACTGGATCCCCTAAATAACAAATCTATGCAATATTAAGCCCTCTAGACACAGGAGAACTCAAGTTCAATGACCTCAAAAATTGTTCATAATAAAAATGAAGTCGTGGTTGTGTGTTGTAACAAAGAAATTTAAAACATTACCCAATAATATACTTTAAATTACATTTGCCTAAAATAAGTCAGCATATTGTTCACTTTGAAACTTAGCATTCTAAAGGAAAGGTAAACGGTTTCTACAACATTGCCTACAATTGTTTGCCCCGGGTCTAACATTTCACTAGAAGATATAAGGTAATAAGTAAACCTGAAATTGTCACTAAATTTTACCACATAGAGATCCTGTGTCAAATATAATCAACATTATCTTGTATTGAAGCATTTTTTAACCTGCAATTTGAATCAAGAAATATGACAATTTGTCCCTGAAGTATTGTTTCCTAGTTCCATTCAAGACAGCTGTGATTAATAAAATATCAACTTGCAGTGGTAAGATTTGTTTCAATGTTAGTGAACGCCTTGAAGACATTCTAAAATGACATTTGAAAAAATGGTTAGATAAGTTAACATAAATAAATAAATAATAGATAAAGTCAAAACTGAAAGTTGGACTTACATTACCGGAAAGATCCGAATTTGCTTCTGGATGTTCATTTCGTTCTGGCATGTTCTGACTTGGAGGTAGGCCTGGACTAAAAGCCATGAGGTCGGTCTTGGGCGGGCCCTCCCCAGAGCACACCCTCTGCCGCCTCGGCCGCGAGGACGACCAGCTCCCCGCCGCGCTGGAGCACACCAGCGGGGGCTTGCCCGGCCCGCACGCGCCCTCGGGGGGCGGCGCCGAGCACCGCAGCGCCGTGTACAGCAGCAGCGTCAGCACCAGCAGGCTGGACACCGCGCAGATGGCCACGATCAGGTACACGTTGACGTCCACCAGCGCGGACCCGGGGCCCGCGGAGCCCGCCAGCGCCCGCGACGCGGCCTGGGGCGCCTGGCCGCCGTCCACCAGCGACACCAGCACGGTGGCCGTGGCCGTCAGCGCCGGCTCGCCGTGGTCCTTCACCAGCACCAGCAGGCGCTGGCCCGCGGCGTCCGCCTCGTCCAGGGCGCGCGTCGTGCTGATCTCGCCCGTGTACAGCCCCACGCGGAACGGGCTGCGCGCGCCGCCCGCCGCCGGCTGCAGCTCGTACGACAGCCACGCGTTGTAGCCCGAGTCGGCGTCCACCGCGCGCACCTTGGCCACCACGTGGCCCGCGCCCACCGACCGCGACAGCAGCTCGCTGGCCGCGCCGCCGCCGCCGGGGGCCCCCGCCCGAGGCGCCAGCAGCGCCGGCGCGTTGTCGTTCTCGTCCAGCACGAACACCTGCAGCGTCACGTTGCTGCCCAGGGGCGGCACGCCCGCGTCGCGCGCGCTCACCTGGAACCGCAGCAGCTGCAGCTCCTCGTGGTCCAGCGGCTGCAGCGCGAACACCTCGCCGCTCTCCGCGCGCACCGACACGTAGCTCGACAGCGCGCGCGCGCCCACCCGCCGCTCCACCAGCGCGTACGACACCCGCGCGTTCTCCCGCGCGTCCGCGTCCCGCGCCGACACCGTGAAGACGTGGCAGCCCGGCGGGTTGTTCTCCTTCACGAACACCGTGTACTCGGGCTGCGCGAAGGCGGGCGCGTTGTCGTTCACGTCGGCCACCTCCACCGCCACGCTGGCCGTGGCCCACCGCGAGGGCGAGCCCCCGTCGCGCGCGGTCACCACCAGCTGGTAGGCCGACACGCCCTCGCGGTCCAGGGCGCCGTCCAGCACCAACGAGTAGTAATTCTTGAAGGTGGGCGCCAGCTTGAAGGGGACCTGGGGCGTCAGGGAGCAGGTGACCTGTCCGTTGGCGCCGGAATCGAGATCGGACACTGAGATGAGGGCAACAACGGTGCCAAGTGGAGCGTCCTCTCTGATGGGCAAGGACAGTGAAGTGACTGCCAGTTCTGGGGCATTATCATTTACGTCCAACACTTTCACCAAAACCTTGCAATGATTAGACATCGGAGGACTTCCTTTATCAACTGCCTTTACCTGAATTTCGTAGGATTTTATTTCTTCATAATCCAATTTATCTATTAGCCTAATTTCTCCTGAGCTGGCATCAACTCTGAATTTATTTTGAATGTTAGGAGAAATGTCGCCATCAAAGAAAAAGACAATCTCACCATTTACACCTTCGTCCGCGTCAGAGGCGTTTAATGTGGCCACTAATGTGCCATTTCCTGCAGTCTCTAACAAGTGGGCTCTGTACACTGCCTGGTCAAACAGTGGCGCGTTATCATTAACATCGAGCACGGTGATAAGCAGCTGAACCGAACCTTTCAGCTCTGGTTTGCCCCCGTCAGTGGCTGTCAATAATAAATGAAGTTCTGGTGCTTCTTCTCTATCCAAAGATTTCCTCAATTCAAGTGAAAGAGACTGACTTAGTTCCTCACCTGCCTGTATATCCAAAGAAAAATAGACACTGGGGCTGAGCGTGTAAGTTAGAAGAGCATTGGCACCAATGTCTGCATCAGCAGCGCCCTCTATCGGAAAACGTGAATCCAGGAGTCTAGATTCAGGAATAAATATCCTTTGTTCTCTGCCTCTAAAAACCGGTGGGTTATCGTTAATGTCCTTCACCTCCACCTCCACATGGAAAACCTGCAGCGGCCGCTCCACGATCACCTCCAGGTGGATGCTGCACTCCAAGCTCCGCCCGCACAGCTCCTCGCGGTCGATCCGAGAATTCACAAACAAAATGCCGTTCTGCAGATTCACCTCCAGAAGGTCCCCGCGGCCCTTGGACGCCACCCGGAACAGGCGCGGCACCAGCTGGGCCAGCTCCAGCCCCAGGTCCTGCGCGATGCGGCCCACGAAGGTGCCGTGCTTGGCCTCCTCGGGGACCGAGTAGCGGAGCTGGCCGCTCCCCGCTTCCCAGGCTGCGACAAGCAGAAGAGACAGCAGCAGATCCCGGGCTCCTGGCTCTCCTCGCCTGGAAAACAGCATTGCAAAAGCACTACACCTTTCGTACTTCAGAATCATGCTTTGCAATCATTTATGTCTTTACTCTTTCTGTCCTCTCTCAAGCTGTGACAAAATGGAGCTTCCGCCTTTATTTTAGTGATCAGTACCTCATTTCTATTGGCAAGACTTTGTGGTATACAGCGACATCATGTGGCTAATGTAAATTTTAGATCTATTCATTGGGTTTAAAAATACAGTCTCTATATTCATTTGCAATTTACTAAATGCAATCATTTTAAAATTTTATATTCCTTCAAGACCCAGAACATTTCAAAACTCATTTTTCGATTAGGCACGCTCAGGATGGTATGGCTGTTGACAATATGTAATGCAGTATTTTCCTTTAGTTATTATTACAAGATATTACAATTGAATTTGGGGAAATTTAAGTTATGCCTAAATAACCTCTCATTACATAATTTTATTTAAAAAGATTTACCAGCTCATGAATTTTTATGATTAAATATTTGTAACTGCATGATGAAGTTTTAAAATAAGGCACTTTGACTACTAAGGTTGTCACCTTATTCTAGGATTGTTTGGGTGCTTATTTTTTAAAATGATATAATTATACACACACATGTACATATAGCTATCATGTACTTACATATGACATTTTCAGAAATTTTCTAGAATACGTTTAAAATTCCTTTAGTGTTGTATGAATAACTTCATCATTTTCTGATAATGATGTTAGAATTTAGAAAAACGATATTTGGAACAATTCCCTTTGTTGCTTGTTAAATAACATAATGATCTAAGTGCTGAATTTTATAACTTTGACTTCTAAAAGTCTTTATTTCAAATTGAATTAGTGTCCATTAAATCGTTATTCCTATGTTAATTTTTTCAGCCATACCTTTTTCTTATTAAGGCCAAATATTGTCATATTTCAACAAAAATAATATAGATGGAGTCACCGTCAAGAACACACAGTAAGAATTTCAATATGGTTCATAGTCAAAAGAAAAATGTAAATCTAATGAAAAGATTATGTTTTTAGAAGAAATCATTTGAGAATAAACTATTAATAAATCTCTCTTTAACTTCAGTTCAATTCACAATCATAAATCCATAGTTACGTCAAAGTTTGACTAAGAAATGTGGTGTAAGGTGTCTTCCTTTCCCTCAAGCCAAAATGTAGCTAATTCATCACAAAAGCATGGTATTTGCTATAACTGAAGACAACTATGTCAAAGATTACTCTCAGTTCTCTACCTTCCATGCTGGGCAGATCTTTCTTGTATCTAATCTAAATTTATTCTGTATAACTTGAAAACATTTTGTGTGTGTAAATAATAAACATTTGATTTCTAGTGAGTTGGTAATAGCAAAAAAAAAAAAGAAGAAATGTGTTGTAAATAAACTACACTAGTTATTTTTTAAAGAGCTTTAATGTTTCTACCTTAAGCACTAAGAATATTTAAGCACCTTAATATGAATAATAATTATTTAATCCATTATGTTTTCATGATGGCAAAGTCCAAATCCTTGTTTACTTAATAATTTAAAAACATAAAACATGGAGTGATTTTTAACAAGTTTATACACTTTTATAGTAGTTCAACATAATAATTACTTTATTACAAAAGTTACAGAAATATAAGATTCATGAGTATCCTCTTATTCCAAAAGTGAAGGAAACCCAGAACTTGGAAGCTTTCAAATGGCAGCAGATTTAGACAACACTCTCAACATTAAAAAGTGCACAGTACTTTAATGTCCATTTAGTTCTTTTTATTATTTTAAATCAGCAAGAATATATAAGAATTCAGCCACATCACTATCTAATAGAAACTAATTGACATTTATAGAACACACTACTCAACCACAGAATACACAGTCTTTCAACTGCCCATAGAACATATTCCAAAATACATCATACCCTAGGTTATAAAACAAGACTCAATAAATGCAAAAAAAAAAAAAAGAAATTATACAAACTATGCTCTCTGACTATAATGGAATCAAATTAGAGACCAATAACAGAAAGATAAAAAGAAAATCTCCAAACACTCAGAAGTTAAACAACACACCTCTAAATAATCCATGGGTCAAAGAGGATGTCTGTAAGGAAATAAAAAAAATACATTGAACAGGATAATTTTTTTAAAAATTTTTTTAAACGATTAACACCAATACAAATCTGTCTTAGAAAATGAGAAATGTCTTTTTTAAATGTATGAAACTCGGTGCAGTGGCTCCAGTCTATTACTCCAGCACTTTGGAAGGCTGAGGTGAGAGGATTGCCTGAGTCCATGGGTTCAAGACCAGCCGGAGCAACTTGGTGAGACCTCATCTCCACAATAAATCAAAAATTAGCTGAGCGTAGTGGTGTGTGCATGTAGTTCTAGTTACTTGGAAGGCTGAGGTGGAAGAATCGCCTGAGCCCAGCAGGTCGAGGCTGTGGTGGCTGTGAGCATGCCACCACACTCCAGCCTGGGTGACATAGTGAGACTCCAACTCAAAAAAGAGTACGAAAAATGCGTATTATGATAAAATTATGCATAGAATTTTTAAAAACATTTTGCACGATAACTTATAAAATTTCTGAACAGAATCTACTTCAAGGAACTAAGAAGAGTAATAGATTAGTTTGAAAAAAATTCCCATCAGAGCAACATGAATTCTGCTAAAATTGAACCAAGAACAAACATCAAATTTATAGTGAAGTTTGGGTAGAAGAATAGCAAAATCATTGATGTTTTACAAAAAGTTTATGGAGACAATGCCTCAAAGAAATCAGCAATTTATAAATGAATAAATCATTTTAAGAAGGGACAAGATGAAGTTTTAGATCATCCATTTGCAAAGAAAAAATTAATCTTGTTTATGCCCTAATTAAAGAGGACCGACAATTAACAGCAGAAACAATAGTCAACATCATAGACATCTCAAATGGTTCAACTTACACAATTTTGAAAAGAAAAATTAAAGCAAATTAAAGTTTCACATAGATCAACTGCAGACAAGAGCAAAACCTCCAATGGAAATTTTAAACAAGTGAGATCAAGATCCTGAAGCATTTCTTCAAAGAACTGTAACAGAAGATGAAACATTTCTTTACCAGTATGATCTTGAAGAAAAAGCACAATCAAAACAATGGCTACTGGCTCAGTGGCTCAGTCTGCAATCCCAGCATTTTGCGGGTTCGAGACCAGTCTGGGCAACTTGGCGAAATCTCGTCTCTACAATAAATTTAAAAAATTAGCCAGGCATAGTAGCGCGCACCTGTAGTTCCAGGTGGCAGAAGGATCGCTGGAGCCCAGCAACGCTAGGGAGGCCGTGAGTGTGCGGCTGCACTCCAGCCGGGGTCACAGAGTGAGACTCCACCTCAGAAAACAAAACCAAAACCAAAAATGTCTACCAACGGATGGAAATGATCCAGTCAAAGTTAAAAGCAGACCAGTCAAGAGCAAAGGTCATGACAACGGTGTTTGGGGATGCTCAAGGCATTTTGGCTGTTGTCTTTCTGGAGGGCCGAAGAACAATAACATCGTCTTATTATGAAAATGATTTGAGAAAGTTAACCAAGTTTTTGCAGAAAAATGCTTGGGGAAGTTTCACCAAAGAGTCCTTCTCCACTGCAACAAGACTCCTGCTCATTTCATCAAACAAGGACAATTTTGTTAGAACTTGATGTGGGAAATAATTAGACATATACCTTAAAGTCTCGATTTGACTCCCTTTGACTTTCTTTTGCTTCCTAATCCTAAAAAAAAAAAAAAAAAAAAAAAAATCTTCAAATGGCACCTCTTTCTTCTGCCATTAATAATATTAAGACTGCATTGACATTGTTAAATTCCCAGAACCCTCACTTCTTTAGGGATGGACTAAATGGCTGGTATCATAATTGCCAAAAGTGTCTTGAACTTGGATTTTGTGTTAATAAATAAAGATTACGTATTTTTATTTTTATCTTTTAATTCGATTTTCCATGAATTTTTTGAAATCCCATCATAGGTAGGTAACTTACCTGAGTAGGAGGTAACACTTCTCAATATATGCTATGAAGATAGTATCAGCAAATAAAATTTTATAATAAATAAAAATAATTATACACCATGGCCAAGTGGAGTTTATTCCAGGTGTTCAATATTTGAAAATCAATTACTATAATTTACCATATCAATGAGCTAAAGAATAAAAGTCATATGACCAAATTATGCAATGCAGATAAAATTTAATATCAATTAATGATTTTTTTTTAACTCTCAGAAAAATAGCAATAGAGGAGAACTTGCTCCACTTGATAAGCCCTTATTTAAAAACTACAGAAAATCTTAAACTTAATAATGGACTGAATGCTTTCACCCTAAGATCCGGAACAATGTGAAAATATCTGTTCTCACCACTATTATTCAACATAGTACTGGAAGATCTACTCTGAGCAGTAGGAAAAGGAAATGAAAGTAATAAATATAAGAAAGAAATAAATAAAACTATTCCTATGTGTGGATGAAATAATTGTGTACATTAAAATCTCAAGAAATCGACAAAAACTCCTGGAATAAGTGCTTTAGCAAAGTTCCATAAAAAGATAAACACACAAAAATAAATATCTCCATATACTAAAAATAAACAAATGGATACCAAAATTTAAAATACAGCACTATTTACATTAACTCAAAAATGTATACTTGAGTGTAAGTAGAACAAAACCATGTACAGGACTTGTGTTCTAAACACTACACAATACTGATGAAAGAAATTTTTAAAATCCAAATAAAAGGAGAGAGATACTATGCTCATGAATCAGAAGGTTTCACAAGTCATGGGGACATATCAGTTTTCCTTGAGTTGATATATAGATTCAACACAATTCCTACCAAAGTGTCAGCAAGATTTTCTGTAGCTATGGATGAGATCACTGTAAAATTTATCTAGAATAGCAAAGGAACTAGAATAGCTAAAAATGTGTACTCCATTTTAAGGTATTATTAAATAGCTACAGTACTCAAGATGGTGTGCCCTGGTAGAGGAGTAAAATAAAGAATGGAACAAAATAAAGTATCCAAAAATAGACCCAACAAAATATGCTCACCTGAATTTTGACAAAAGCAATTAATGACAGGAAAGATTGAAATGGTTTTAGAGCAATTAGATATCCATAGGCAAAAAAATAAACTTCAACC